ATGCAGGCATTTGCTACATGTTCCATAAGATTTAATCGACCGTTGTGGTGGTTTTGTTGGTAATCCCAATTCCTAAGAATATATTTATTTACTTCCTGATAGGGTTGGAGGATCAATCATGTGATTGTGACATGGTGTTCCATCTTTATCTCCAGAAAATATATCGTGTAAAAATAATGCATATGTACATTATTTTCCTAATTTTTTCTCGGAAGCAACATGTGTTGGGAATGCAGTATACCCTAACAATTTTTTAGTATGCCAAAAACCCGTTCTACGTCATTTCTTGTTGATTTATTTGTATTACCTTGAATTTGTTTCATTTTTCATCACTTGGATATGTATATGTTTTCACAAAAGTAACCAAAGTGGGTTATATCTCATTAGCAGGATCAGGGGCGGAGCCAAGATTTTCGGATAAGGGGGGCTTATATATATTTAAAAAAAATCAAATAACATAATCACGTCTGTAAAATTGAAAGAGATACTAATAAAGAAAAAAAATCGTCTAAATAGAAACTATATCGATCTTTGTAAGAACCAATCTTCAAAAGTTTTCCAATGATTATAAACACCGATTCTCATACATTAACCTAAAATTATAAAAAGAACGAGTTAGACATAAATACATATGATATCATGCTCAATTGAGAAGAATACAAATAATTTTTTTTATTAAAGTATAAAAAGTAGTACCTTGCTCACTTTAAGTTGTGCCCGTCTTTGCTTCATAGAAGAAAAATCATCTATAATTTTATCTGTGGAAAACGTGTCAGCAATCTCTCTCTCAATGTTAATAAGCAGACAACTTTTAAGAAAATCATCATTCATGGTATTCCGAAGTTGCGTTTTCACGATTTTCATTGTTGAGAATGCTCTTTCAGATGTCGCGGTAGAAACAGGAAGCGTCAATATAATGAGAATCAATCTGTCAAGCAAAGGATAAGTACTTGACTTTCCTGTTTCATGTAGGCCCCTACACAACTCAGAAATTGTAGATAATTTTTTCAATTGTGGGTGATTGCGCACATCTAGCTCATAATGTTGTAACTCAAATTTCAGCAAATTAATTTCATGCTCTGTAATGTCCAAAGGATAATAAGTTGTTGCCAATTTACATATATCTTCAACATTCAAGGATTTTTTTGGATCTCGTGCAACACTAAGACGAAGAAGCTCCGTTACAGACTCATTAAATCTAGAGTTTAACTCTTGTAACTGACTATCAATAGCAATAATAAACAATTCAACTCGGTAGTGATGCTCTACATTAATATCATCTTTATCACGCCGTGTTCGAATTATATATCTATAAGTTTCATTCATACCAGGAACCAAAATGTCATTCCTCTTACAAAAGCAAACCACTTGATGCAAAAGCGATTGCCAACCTTCATCTCTTAGTTTTTGAAGCAATATTTTTGTTGTGGAAACCAAGACCAATGCATTAACAATATCTATAGATTTTTTTTTGTAAAGATTGGCAAAGTTTGTCAGTTATCTCCATTATTTCTTTCATCACATGTAAAACAATGACAAAAGCAAATGACAATGCATGTTTAAGTGAAAATATTGCATCACCTTTTTGAGAAGATGTAGAACCTTTTGTAGTAATGTCAGTCAACACTACACAAAATGGACCAAAAAGTCTCATCAAACTACATATTGATTTGAAATGAGAACTCCACCTAGTATCTCCAAGCCTTTGTAATGTTTGCATTTGATTTGTTCCTTTTCCACTCTCAATCTCATCAACCTTAATTAAATGAGAAATTTCAGCAATTTGAGCATCTTGTAATTGATCAGTACGCTTGAGGAAGAACTTATGACATTAACTATAAAGTTTAAAGTTTTGAAGAAGTTATGTACCTCAGCCGCATCTTTAGTCGCTGCAACTAGAGCCAATTACAATTGATGATCAAAACAATGTATGTAATAAGCATAAGGGCATTCCTTTAATAATAAAGCTTGCAACCCATTCCATTATCCACGCATGTTACTAGCTCCATCATATCCTTGACCCCGAATATCTTGGGCACTAAGTTTATGATAAGACAATGAACCCATTATTGCATTTTTCAAGATCAATGAAGTTGTATCTTTGACATGAATCAAATCTAAAAATCTTTCTTTGACATGTCCTTCTTGGTCAACAAATCTCACAACAATAGCCATTTGTTCTTTCTTAAATTCATCTTGAGACTCGTCAACTATCAAACAAAATTTTGCCATCCTGATTTCATCACGAATGGCTTTTTGTACATTTGTAGCTAAAACAGGTAATATTTCTTTTTGGATATCCGGTGATGTGTACTTTGCATTTTGAGGAGCATTTTCTAACACAACATCATCAATAGTCTTGTTATAAGAAGCAAACAACTTTATAAGTTCAAGGAAATTCCCTTGATTTATTGAGTTGGGTAGCTCATCATGACCTCTTAAAGCACATGCTTGAAATGTGAGCCATTTAATAGCCTCAATAGAAACTTTAAGGCGTAATCTATTATCCATAACTTGTTGAGTCGTTTGTTTCTCAATCACATTTTCTATGTGACACAACTGGTTTTTTTAAATCTTCATAGCATCTAACAGGAAAATTATGTGCTGAGGCCGGAGTCTTACCTTCATGGACGATGAAAGCACAATCTTTGCCACAATTCACCTTTTTCCACCTATTAAATCCTATCACAGTAAATGTATCTGACCCGACTCTTCCAATAGGTTTCTTATTAAAAAAAAGCAAGGGAAACAAAATGCAGCATCTTTTTTCTCAGAATATTCCAACCACTAAATTTTTTTAACCAAACTTGTTGAAAACTGCGCATAGAACCATTTGGACCAATGGGACTAGAAGGATACTTTGATTTTTGAATTTGGTATGGTCCAAGTGTAATATACAATCGTCTAATCTCATCCCGTTGGTGACTTGGATAGCTTAAGATCAAAGGCCGTTCTCTGGGATCACGAATCAAAGAATCTAAGTTTACGTCTCTTGAATTTGAAATATCATTTTTTTTCAGGTTCAACATTAACCGGATCTTCCATATTACTATTCCTTTCTGGTTGTGGGCATGTATTAACACTTTCCCCAATATTATCACTAACAAGATGCGGTTGCAAATCATTAACATCTTCTATTCGTTTGAAAAAAGAATTGCTGGTTCTTTTTTTCTCATAGTTTACCATATAATTATAAAAATTAAGAAACCAATTAACCAATCATAATACCATCATTAATTACAAATTATAATGTTCAAAATAAATATTAACCACAAATTACAAAAAGCTTAAATATATATTAACTAGTAAGAATTAAAAAGTTACTTTTTGGATGTCCGATAACCCTACAGGATGACTAATTGACTATAATTTAAGACTTGAAATACTCCCTTTTAAGTATTATACTATACAAAATAAATATTACCGCAAATTACAAAAACTTAAATATGTATTAACTAACGAGGATGAGGATTGGAATTACCTTTTGGGAGTCTTGAATTTAATTGTGATGAATACAACTGAAGTAATCCCTTCGAAGTAATCCACGATTTGCCGGCTGTCGATAAAGGTTTAATGGTAAATGTATACTGCATACGCCTAAAGTATTTAACATAATATTAAATAAATGGGTTGTAATAAGGGGGGTGGGCTTAAATTAATTGGGGGCAGCGTATCTGCTATCCCTTGCATTACCTCCGCGCCTGAGCAGGCAAAAACTTCAAGTATAATCCTCAGATGATCGTAATCACCTTTGATGTTTTAACCTCACCATGCAATTAGACAATTCCTCCATACCAAATGTATACAATTAATGCTACCTAACATTTCAGAAAATCCATACTTGGATTCATGTACAACATGTAAAAGTTGTATGTCACGCAAAGTTGATTTTACACAAATAAATTTTTTTCATGCAATGGAATAATATTTTCATAGCAGTTTTATATACTTGTTCTTTCAAAAATATTCAAATACTCATCATGCACTTCATGAATTGTCCAATATGTTAATTGACACATTGCATATATGCAATGGAGTAAAACTTCTTTGGATCCTAGCATCATGAGTTAATCTAAACAATAGATCGTGTGTTTCGATATCATCAAATATTCGTAAGAGTAATTGTCTTTGCATATGGAAACTTCTTATGAACACCTCAACACCAAATACATGATTTGCAACAAAGTAATAATTCACTAGACAATCATGTGTAGTTTCACGGCCTTTTTGAACATGAGTTATATTCATTGGTCCACTTGAACTTATGTTATCTTAAAAAATAAGTAATGTAGCTTGAGAAATTGTTGCCATTAACGAGAATGATACACAAATTTGATGAAGTTGAAAACGCAATGTTAGATACATATTAGTTAGACACAAATTATGAGCTTGATGAATCTATTTTCTGTTGCTAGAATTTTGAAAGAGTTAATTATTTTATATATTAAAGAAAAGAAAGATTGGATTTTTATTTATAGGCTTTTTAAACTAATCGTTTAAAGTCTAAAATAATCGATCTATAATTCTGTCTCTCTTATTTCTTGAAACAAAAGAACCTTTGTTTCTGATAGAAATGCCCTCCATGAAACCCTTTCCCCAGCTTCATATGCATTGTATTGTCCACCCTAACATTTGTTTTGGTGCTTGAGTAAATCCCAATCCCAATAATCTAAAATATTTGATAGCATTACAATCACCGACAAAACACCACTTAATTAAATTATTTTACTCTAAATAGAAATTACAAACACAACGGAACTTACAAATACACCCTTTAAGAAGCGGAAATTATAAACGCACCCTTTGCACCTCCGCTCCCTTTAACTTTCTTTTGTGAGTAGGGTTGCAGAAGATAAACGCCACCAGTCACCCCTTTCACCCCATCTCTTTCACATCACACGTCGCCTTATAAACCCTCAAAAACTATCAAATCTCTCTCTACTCTCATTCTCTATACATACTTTCTCTCTCTACAAATCGTCTAATCTGCAACACAAACAATGGGCGCTTCGCTTCCTCCTAAAGAGGCTAACCTCTTCAAGCTCATCGTCGTAAGCTCTACAATCTTAATGAGTTTAATAACTTTGCCAATTCGTAATATCTTCCTCCCCACTCTTTAAAACCCTAGTTATCTTTATGTGCATGAAAAAAATTGTATTGTTGTCTGGTTAGGCTTGTATTGTGAAGATTTTGGATCGTAAATTGTAAATTCTTAAGTATGTGTCTCGAATTAACGTAAACATACGATTTTTCTGTAATCTTGATTAGCTTTCGGTTCAGGAGAATGGCTGGATGTTGGTTTCATTGATTACTAATGTGTTTTGGTTTATCACATTGAATGAATTGTGGAGATTTTGTTACTTTTTTGTCGATGAAAACTTAAGGTTAATGTCACTTGGAAGTCCAGTGAAATACGACTGAGTTGGGATCAGGTGCTATAGTTTATCCGCAAAGATTATGTAACAGCTGGAGTCATCGTGGTGAAGTTTCTTACAATATACTGGAAACAGTTTATTGTGCAGCTAGCTAACTGGACTAGTGGTTTCGTTTCAGAAGCACTACCAAACCTCAAAATCTGAATGCATTGTACAGAACAAGCCTTTTCTCCCAAACTAGTTAGGGGTAGGTTAAAAATGACCATAGAAGAAATCTAAAACAGTAGAACTCAAAAAGAAAACACTAAGAAGTGAACCCTAATTGTTTAATGTCAATGAGAACATCATGTACTTCTATATAACATCAACTCATTGGATGTTCAATGCCCTCAAATCTCCCTCCAATACTTTTCCTGTTTTAAGTTTTCAGACCTCTTCCTCTCCTATCATTGTTTAATTTTTTTGTCTAAGGACATTAGACTCTTGGTGAGACTAATTAGCTATTGACTTTTTTGATGTGCCCTTGACCTATATTGATCGAGTACAAAACTAATCTAAATGAAAGCATTTCTACAAAAATGAAGCCTGAATGCACAATATCCTGCATCTTTTCTACATCCTTAAAGATATGTTGATGTCAGTTTCATGCCCCCTTTGTCTTCTCATAAGCTGTCTTATTATCGATGATCTCTCTTGTTTAAAACCATATTGATTTCCCTATACCTTATCTCAACCCTTAATTTATTCTCAATAAATAACCCTCATGTAGTTCTAGGTTATACAAATTCATCTTGATATTATTTAGGATAATCTTTGATCCTATCACAACTCACTGGTGTTAACCACTATTAATCACATTTTACATTGCATTGTTTTGTTATCCTTTTGAAACCAGAACTGTTGTCTATGTATTGAGTTGTTTACTGGGGAAATGATGCATGCTCTGTTGATTGTCTATTTGGCAGAAATCATATGAAACAAAACAGTATAAAAAGGGGATAAAGGCTGCAGATGCTATCTTGAAGAAGTTCCCAGATCATGGAGGTTTGTGAGCTGTGTTCATTATTGAATAACACTCTTGACCTCTAAATTGGTTCTCATCTTTATTACTTTTCTTGTCAATAGAAACTCTTTCAATGAAGGGATTAACATTGAACTGCATGGACCGAAAGCCAGAAGCATATGAGCTTGTACGCCTGGGATTGAAGGTTGGATAACTTCTAAATTAAACTTTTGAGTATTTTTATTTGAAATTTTTTTTTTTTTATATCAGTTACATTGTCATAATGTTTATTCACTTACTCAATTGTAGAATGACTTGAAAAGCCATGTTTGTTGGCATGTCTATGGTCTTCTCTATCGGTCAGACAGGGAGTACAGAGAGGCAATAAAATGTTATAGGAATGCTCTGAGGATAGATCCTGACAACATTGAAATACTTAGAGACCTATCACTTTTACAGGTATCTATATTCTATACTATAATATATATATATATATATATATATATATATATATATATATATATATATCCTTACAATGAAAGGAGTTATTATCTATGTAAGATTTTCACTGATACAATTGTGTAATGGTGCCTTTTTCCCACCCGATTTTAGGCACAAATGCGTGATTTGGCAGGTTTTGTTGAAACTAGACAGCAATTGCTGACTTTGAAACCTAATCATCGGATGAATTGGATTGGTTTTGCAGTTTCTCATCATTTAAACTCAAAGTAAGTTGTGGGATTTTGTCTTTTTTCAAAAAAATAATGTAATTAAAACGTTTAACTTTTACAATCTTTTTATTATTTATATGATCAGTGTATGCCTGTAAAAGTTTCTTGCTTATGCCCTGTGTCTTTCTCTGTCCTTATGGATGATTCTGTAAATATTATGTAAACACTTAGGTATATTTTTATTTGAACTTTTGCTATTATTATTAGTATTTACATCACACAGTGTTAAAAGAGGCATTCTTATATAAACTAGCTATGCATAGATTCACATCTATAAGTTGGTTGTATGAATATTAACTCTCTTTTGATTATTAAATTGTGAGTTCTAAAAGTCAGTAACATTGTATTATAAGCTTTCATGTTATTATTAGTAAAGTGTAAATTTTGTAACTTCTTTATGGATGTTTTACAAGTGCATCGAAAGCAATTGATATCCTGGAAGCATATGAAGGAACTCTTGAGGATGATTATCCTCCAGAAAACGAACGTTGTGAGCATGGGGAAATGCTGTTATACAAGGTAATATTTGTGATAAATAATAATGCTATCTTCATAAAAATGAGCCTTACTTATCTTGTTATAATTTTCTATTGTCCAGATATCTTTATTGGAGGAATGTGGGCTTCTAGAGAAAGCTCTAAAGGAGTTGAGAAAAAAAGAGTTGAAGATTGTAAGTTTATTTTATACGTACTTTGTATTTGTATAATAATGACTTGGCTTCATTTGATAATAATATATTCTTTGTTATAACTTATAATAGGTTGATAGATTATCCTACAAGGAAGAGGAAGTTTCTCTCCTTGTGAAGCTCAATTCTTTTGAGGAAGGTGAAAAGTTGTACAGGGTGCTGCTTACAATGAATCCTGACAACTACAAGTAGACTTCAATATTCCTATTACTTCATTAAATTTGTAAAAATCCAAAATTAATTTGATCCTTTTTTATTAAGATACTATGAAGGATTACAAAAATGTGTTGGACTACACTCGAAGACTGGTGAATATTCCTCTGACGAAATAGATAAGTTGGATGCTCTCTATAAATCTCTTGGGGAACAATACACCTGGTCTTCTGCTGTTAAGGTGATTAAAAAAATTTAAAACATCTCTACTTTTATTCCAATTAGATTATCTAACTCACAACATTTTCTTTTAGAGGATCCCACTAGATTTTCTTGTTGCTGAAAAGTTTCGTGATGCAGCAGATAGTTATATCAGGCCTCTCTTAACAAAGGTACTCATACTTTGCTTCTTTTTAATATCTATTCCTTTTATGAATTATCATCTTTCTTTTTTTTTTTTTATGTAAATTTATACTCCTATTAATGACAAATGCAGGGAGTCCCATCACTGTTTTCTGACCTCTCTCCTCTGTATGATCATCCTGGCAAGGTTTGTGCCTCTATAAAGGTTTTAAATTTCAATACTTTCTTGCATTGTTATTTCTGACATATATTATTCACCTTTTTTACAGGCTAATATACTTGAAAAATTGGTGCTTGGTTTGGAAGAATCACTTAAAAAGACAGGTGGGTACCCTGGAAAGTCAGAAAAAGAGCCACCTTCAACGCTTATGTGGACATTATTTTATTTGGCTCAGGTTTGTTTCTACAATAAATCTGTTTTGACTTTTATAAAATTTCATATTCTTATTCTTATGTGGTTGTAATGCAGCATTATGACAGACGGGGTCAGTATGATGTGGCGCTTGCGAAAATTGAGGAAGCCATGCAACATACTCCAACAGTTATTGATTTATACTCTGTCAAGGTCTGCTTAATTAAACAGATTCATTTACATTTTATGTGAGAGAAAAAGTTTTAGTGATTATAATAATCGGAATCATGACTATTGACATTTTTTTTTTGTACAGAGTAAGATTCTAAAGCATGCTGGAGACTTTGCAGCTGCAGCTGCATTGGCAGATGAAGCTAGATGCATGGATCTTGCAGATCGTTATGTAAATAGTCAATGTGTTAAAAGAATGCTTCAGGCTGATCAGGTCCAAAATCCAAATATATTTTATTTAGTTATTTATTTTTAGTCTTTATTATTATTTTTTTTTCTAACTTTTCACATGATGTTTTCACAGGTTTCACTTGCGGAAAAGACAGCTGTACTCTTCACAAAAGATGGTGATCAACATAATAATCTTCATGACATGCAATGCATGTGGTTAGTCCTTGTTACAAACTTTATGCTGAAGTTTATATCTTTTACCTTTCTAATAAAATGTATTTTTGATAATAAAAAAAAAAAATTGAAAGGTACGAACTTGCTTCTGGAGAAAGTTATTTGAGGCAAAATGAGGTTGGACGTGCATTAAAAAAGTTTTTGGGTGTTGAGAAACATTATGCAGATATAACAGAAGACCAATTTGATTTCCATTCTTATTGTTTAAGAAAAATGACTCTTCGTGCTTATATTGAAATGCTAAGATTCCAAGATCGTCTTCATGCTCATGCTTATTTTCGCAAGGCAGCTGCTGGAGCTATAAGGTCAATCAAATTAATTCATTTTTTTTTTTTAATTTTTAAAAAACTTCTTGTACCTAAAGTTTTAGTTATTGTTGTTATGCAGATGTTATATCAAGTTGTATGATTCTCCTCCGACATCATCAACTGAAGAAGATGATGAGCTGGCAAAAATGCCTGCTTCACAAAAGAAGAAAATGAGGCAAAAACAGAGGAAGGCTGAAGCAAGGGCAAAAAAGGTATATTTTCATTTTTGTGTGATTTTACGGTTTTGCCCTTGTGAATGACATATATATATATATATATTTTAATGGGTTGTTCAGGAGGCGGAAGTGAAGAACGAGGAAGCTAATGTTGGTGTTTCCAAGTATGGGAAAAGAAATGTTAAGACGGTTGATCCGGATCCAAATGGAGAGAAATTATTGCAGGTTTTTACTAATATCATTTGTTCATATTAAAATATTATATATGTATATTGATATAAGGTTTTGTATATGAACTTACTAGGTTGAAGATCCTTTAATGGAAGGTGGAAAGTATCTGAAACTTCTTCAGAAGCATTCACCTGATCACTTGGAGACACATCTGCTTTCTTTTGAAGTTAATATCAGAAAGCAAAAGATCTTGCTTGCCCTACAGGTAAACTCTAATATAATATTTGTGAATTGTGATACAATATTATTAGGATTTATTTATATATATTTGGGTTGTGGTTTGAACTTTTTAATGGCTTTTCTATTTTGTGAAGGCTTTGAAGCACTTGGTACAGCTAGATGCTGAAAATCCAGACACTCATCGCTGCTTGGTATGTCTTATATTTTGTTTTGCTTCATAAAATTTTCATTAAAATTGTGGGTTTCACTTTCACAGATAAGATTCTTCCATAAAGTCGCATCAAGGCCTGTTCCCACTACTGATTCTGAAAAACTTATTTCTGGCGTATTAGAAGCAGAAAGACCAAGTTTCAGGTTATTTCTATAATTCATGCTCCCTTGTCTTGTTTCTATAAGTCATTTCTTCTTCTTATTAAATATTTTTTGTCTTTTTTTTTTTTCTTTCTAGTCAGCTGCATGGTAAATCTCTAATGGAGGCAAATACTGTTTTCCTTGAGCAACATAAAGGTAACTAACATTTGTTATAAAAAAATCCTGCTCACCTGATTCTTTAAAGACATATATATATATATATATATATATATATATATATATATATATAATTAGATAATACATGTTTGTCTTTTTCTGTATTAATTAAGAGAGTTTGTTTGTTGGTGATTTTGTAGATTCATTGATGCACAGAGCAGCTGTAGGTGAAATGATGTATTGTTTAGAACCAAACAAAAAGGCAGAAGCAATCACTTTGATCCAAGAATCACTCAATAACTCCCCCATTTCAAGGTAAGCCTACATTAAATAAAATCAGGATTAAATTTAATTTATCAGGCGACTTTCTTATTTAACTTGAATGAGAGTCATTATAGTAATCCATGATAACTTTTTTTTTTTTTTTTTTTTTTTTTTATTTTTTTATAATGTATGCAAACACTCGCACATGCTTGAATGTCTGTTTTACCCCTGAATCAGTAACGGATCACTTGGAGCCGTGAAAGAATGGAAACTCAAAGACTGTGTTGCAGTTCACAAGATTTTGGTGTCTACTTTTGATGATCGAGATGCTGCTCTGAGTAAGCCTTTTTTTGTTTTTTCCTTAACTATCTTGATATTTAAATGCAAGAATTAGCAAACATACTTTCATTGAATTTTTCAATCCCCAAATAAGAAAAAATTGAAAGCACAATGCTACTACTATAGTTGAGTAGGTTTTTCAGAACACAAGCCTTAACAACAAAAAAAAGAAAGAAAGTAGAATGCTATAATCATAGAAGTATGTTGCTATTTCTTTTGTAGGATGGAAAAAGCGATGCGGAGAAGAATTTCCATACTCAACCTACTTTGAAGGGAGCCTGTGCTCCACTCAAACAAATGTTTCTAAAGCTGAAGAAAACGGGGGAATATCAAATGGTAAAATAGAAAAGTTAGATGCAATGAAGAATTTAGCAATCATCTAACACAACACAACCACTTAAAACTTAAAAATCACAAGCTGTAGGATTATATTATGTTTGCGGTTGTAGGATAAAGATTCCTGACCCCATGAGAAAAAAAAAACTCCACATATCTTGGAGAGACTACTATTTTTTGTTATTTTTAAAGCTGTTTTCTTTTCTTCATGGGATCATGATTCCCTTGAAAATGTGTATAATTTACTTGTTATGTCTCTTTATGTTGTATAAATGCTATATTTATTTGCAAAAATTTTGGCATGATTTTTGAGTGATTCTACACTTTGTATCAATATAATGTCCTGCATGGTAGTTAAATGGTAATGTATTTCTTTTATTTGTTTATTATATAGCATTCTCATTCTGATGTGGAATCAAATTGAAGGGAACGGAAATAATCACAAAATATTTTATTTTTTAAAAAATAAAAATATATATAGTTGAAGTTTTGAAAGTTATAAAAAGATTATTGCCGCTGAAAAAGGAAAATAATTTATAAATATAAATATGTGCAAGATGTCAACATATCAATTTATAAATTCTCCAAAAACAATTAATTAGAAATGATGACGTAAAACTGTAGAACTAATCATAAACAGAAACTAACTCGTGAATTTTTCATTAACAGTGAAATTCTGCAAATAAAAAAAAAAAAAAAGAAACATTGGTTTAAAAATTCAATTTGTGTTTTCGATTCAAAGTTTAAGATCTTATTAAATAAAACATTCTGTGCTATTTAACTTATTTTATAACAAGTAATATATTCATATGTTGTTTGTAATACATAAAAAAATATAATATAAGCAGAAAAATAAATATTAATAAAATCAGATGTGATAATGTTGATAGCATACCTTTTAAAGAATAATATATGAAATCATTAATTTGATAATGTTCTCTGCATAATGATGTAATTGTTTTGAACATACCTTAGAAATAAACTTCATGTTTGATGGCTGGGAAACAATAAACCGAACGAATATTTATTATGGTGAGGAAGTCAAAGATTTTTGGATTAAATCTTAGACTTATTCTGTAATGCAATAAGTCTTTACACGAATAAAAAGATATTTACATATTAAATTAACGACAGATTCTTTCACATCCACTTCGAACTGATAATCATTGCATACTAGGGAGTAGGGAGCCAGAAATTATGTTAAATAGAAACAAAATTTACAAATTTTATGCATCGTTATATTTGTTGGGATATTTACCTAAACTCTGTTAAGACCTTTTTTTTTTTTTTTTTTTTTTGGTATTTATTACAAAAATGGTTCCTATAACTTATAAAACGGTCCCTATTTTAATGGAAAATTATAAAAATGTTCCTATGTAAAAAACAAATTACAAAAAATCTCTCTAATTTACAGAAAATGTCCTTACACATAATTGTTTTACATAAATGATTCTCGCAAAGCGGTAGAAAATAGAAATGGTCCATGCCTAAGAGAAAATTTACAAACATAGTTCCTATGATTCATAAAACTATAGAAATGACCCCTTCCTATTAGCACATTTAAAGAAATGATCCATATATTTCACAATGTTTTTTTTGTTTTTCATACAATTAGAGAAATCGTCCCTATCTAAAAGCAAAATTATATAAACTATCTCTAAATTTTCAAAAAATTACATAGATGGTTATTGTCCAATAGCAAAATTATAGAGACGACTCTCATATAAGAGAACATTAAAAAAACTATGTCGAAAATATAAGATTAATATATTTATTGTACCGTGCCAACATCCTACTAGTTAATATGAAAAAATTGGGAGGTATAAAAACTATTTAATTTAAATTTGTGCACGTGATGTTAAGGTCTCTTTGGTCGCTTAATAGTTTAGATAGAATTGAAATGATTCAAGGAAATAGGATTTTAGAAATTGAAATATGTCACACGTATAGAACAACAAAAAATCAAATAGAATAGATATACTAATGACAAATAAAAATTACTATTTATTTATTTTTTATAACTTATTATTGTTTTATAAATGCATATATGAAAACAAATTATATATATATATATATATATATATATATATATATATATATATATATATATATATATATATATATATATATATATATATATATATATATAGGGTTAGGTTCATTTGAGACCACCTATATTTTATGAGACCGTGAGACGCATTTTTTTATTTATTTTATTTTTTTTAGTTAATTCATGTTCCGAAAATAATATTTAAAAAAAGAATTTTTTGATTTTTCCATTTATTTTGCATTTTAAAATTATTTTTAGAATATGTACAATGTAATATTCTATTTAGAATATTTCACGTATTTTAAAAAAAAAATAGAATTTTTATTTATTTATTTATTTTTATTTTTTTTAGTTAATTCAAGTTCCGAAAATAATATTTAAAAAAAGAATTTTTAGATTTTTCCATTTATTTTGCATTTTAAAATTATTTTTTAGAATATGTCAGTGTAATATTCTATTTAGAATATTTCACGTATTTTTCAAAAAAAAAACGGAATTATTTTTATTTTTTTAAAATTTTTTTTTAAATTTTTTTTAGTTAATTCAAGTTCCGATAATAATATTTAAAAAAAGAATTTTTGGATTTTTTCATTTATTTTGCATTTTAAAATTATTTTTAGATTTGATCTCACGGTCTCACAAAATTAAAATGGTTTCAAATGAACCTGAACCTATATATATATATATATATATATATATATATATATATATATATATATATATATATATATATATATATATATAATAAGAAACCATTTTAAACCTTAAAACCATTATATTTTCAAGTTTTAGAATTTATTTTTTATCGAAAAAAAATCTAAATTCATAACTTTTTATCTTCTTAACATTGATATCAAATTCGATATATATATATATATATATATATATATATATATATATATATATATATATATATATATATAATCAAATGTAAAACAATTGGTTTTGTCATTGATATCGGGTTGGCGAGTTGACCCGCGAAAAAAATCTAAATTCATAACTTTTGATCTTTTCACTTAAACATGCATTGTCATTTGATTTTGTCATTGATATCGGGTTGGCGAGTTGACCCGCGAACCTAAACAGATAACTCAATCCAACCCATGAAATAAACGGGTTGGCAGGTTAGTGGGTTGGCGGGTCAAAAATCACAACCCAAATCCGTTTATTTTCCTATTGGGTCACTATCGGGTTACGGGTTGAATCGATGATTGCCACCCCTAGTTTTGATTTCATAATATTTACTGCCATGCCCCTGGTGTTTTATGTTTATTAAAATGGACTAAGATTTGTATTTATTTACGATTATACCGTTATTTACTTTTAATAAATAATTGACAAAAATGTCTTGTAAACATGTATGTCATAAATTACAAATAATTATAAGCTAAAATAATAGTTCTTAGGGTTCTTAATCTTTTTTGATTCTTATTTGATCTTTTACCTCTCTCTCTGTCTCTCTCTCTCTCTCTCTCTCTCTATATATATATATATATATATATATATATATATATATATATATATATATATATATATATATATATATATATATATATATATATATATATATATATATATATATATATATATATATCTTTTACCTCTATGTTGGGCCGTTAATTATTGCTCTTTATACCAAATAAAGTGATACAATAAGTGGTTGCATAGGGTTGATTAGCTCAAAGGAAAGAAAAGCCTCTAAGATTAAGTACGAACGTAGTACCTAACCGTGATTAATATTTAATTATTTGTGATAATATATATCATGTTATCATATATTTTTGAATCTTTAGATTTGACTAATGAAGGCTCTCGACTTTTAATATCAATTCGTGCATACTCGATAAATCAACTTCCATCAATTGATGTTTTAACTTAATTGCCTTGTTAAAATAAGTTTATAGTAATCAACAATGATTAATAGTTGTGATAATATCGTGTTACGTTAAATTTTGACCGATAAACCTAGACTTGTTGGAATGACCGATGAGGTACAAGTTTGAAGTTTTAACTAGCGGAAATATTTTAATTATAAACATCGAGACTCTTCAACTACATGTAGTCACCCATTGTTTTTGAAAAAATCTTGAAACCGGTAATGAAAATTTTAGACGCAACGTAACCCACTTTATCTTTTATCTTGTTTTTTCATTTAGAGAAAAACAACGATGCATGTATGTATTGCATATTGTTTAGCCGTAATTAGAAGGTTTTTTAAAGAGCCAAGCACTACATGCATATTCTCACATGGAAAGAAAACACCCATGTGTTATGACTCAGTCGTGTCTTTAGTTTCTAACCCTATTTGGTCAATACACGAAGTTGGCCGAGCCCTATTGACATCTCCAAAAGAAGCAATTGATTTAAGAGAGTTTGGTTTCCATAACATTGGTTTGAGCTCAATGATCGATGTTCTGAACTGAATTTTAACGAAATTATATTTATAATATACAAAAAAAAAAAAAAAAGCAAAACATATTTCTAAACATTAAGTAACAAAAATAGTGTACCGCTTGAAAACGGAAATATTTGTTTATAAAGGTTGGGTGTTTCGTTAGCTTGTAATGGGATGTTTAAGATCTGCTTTTGTTACTTATTATAATTTCCACCAATTCTTCCAACTCTCTCTCTCTCTCTCTCTCTCTCTCTCTCTCAATTTTTGTCAATTGTGATTCGACTTATCGTTCTGTAATCTAGTTAGTGAAGCTTTGGAGATTTCAGAAGGATAACTAAGGAAAGAAAGTAAACATTGAAGTTCTACTCATGACTATTTTGACCTTATCAAATAGAGTAAGTTACACTTACTCTTATCTAACCTACTTAGTTGTTTCAAGAATACATGTGAATTAGTCCATTCATGTAACTCTATTCCAACAGCCCTCACATTCTAACATACAACGTACATATATTGCCACACATAGTATAGTGTGATAACTCAGATGGATATTCTTGAAACAACTAAGTAGGTTAGATAAAGTAGGTGTAACTTTATCATTTTTATGAGGTCTGAATAGTTGCGAGCAAAACTTCGAGGTTTACTTCCTTTCTTTAGTTATCCTTTCGAAACCTCCAAAGCTTCTCAAACTAGATTACAAAATGAGAATTCGAATCACAACAGTCCGAAATCTCGAGATATATATATATATATATATATAGAGAGAGAGAGAGAGAGATAGAGTTAGAAGAATTGGTGGAAAGAAATAAAGAGGGCGACCCTCCTTTTATAGGGAGGTTTTTGCCTCGCTGTCCCGCACACTATAGAGGGTTGCGCCGCGACCATAAATTAGACTGAATTTTCTTTCG